AAATGTTTTGACCCCTAAACTCCCCTAAACCATCATAACTAAACCCCAATAGAACATAGTTAACCCAAACATAATTAATATAAAGAAAAAAATAATTTTGAAAAAGTGGTATTTTTGTAAAGATTTCAAAAGTGTGGCATTTTTGTGAAGTGGCACTTGAAAAGTGGCATTTTTAAAAATTTTTCTATTTAAAATTTGAGAGAAAATTAAAAAAAAACTATAAAACCGTATGAATATGAAATTTGCCATGTGAAATGTAGCTTTTTCTCTGAAATTAAGGGTGTGCAAAAATTAAAAAGGTGAAGATATCGAAGATGATTTTATTTTTTCTATTTTTCACCAAGGACCCCACGCACGTGTGAGTCTTATCCACACGCTTTTCCGCCATTGTTTTTCTCACTTTGTTTGCTCACTTGCAGAAAATTTAGTTCACTTACATTCTCTCTTTCACAATCGAACACGAAGGTGAGCATAACGTGAGAACGTGTTCATCTTGATTTTTTGTGCCTTGTCGCATTCTTAACTTTTCTAGAAACCGATCTAATTTTACTCTTTTTCTTTGAATTTATCGTAAAAAATTCTATATCAGTTGCCTATTTATGATTTAAAGTTTGTTCTTGTCGGATAATTTCTTTTTGCATATAGATAAATACATTTTTTTAGAAAAATAAATACATACATATTCTTATTAAGTTACTACTTTTAAATCTTATCCCATTTGCATTGTATCAGAATCTTGATTTTGGATTTCATCTGCCAAAACAAAACATAATTACTACGTACATATTAGTTTTGTGTGTCAAAAAGAGAGAAACAAAAATCGTTAATAGAATCTTAAAATTATATTTGTAGAAAATGTATGTAGGATAAGTACTTAAGTCTAAAGTGCTTACATATTCGAATAGCTTGTCAAGAAAACAATATAGTGTTCACATATTTGTTGGTTTCTAATGATTAATTGTAAATTGAATAGTATCTACATATTTAGTTTTTTATAACGTTCTCAATTAAAAAAAAAATCAATTGCTTTTTCCCAAACTTTGCCAATATTCGTCCGTTTCCTAGTTAACTTCTTCTGTTGTAATATCTCACTGCAACACAAGAAAATTAGGTTAAGATATGTTCAGGGATAGATTATATGATATATGGAAACATTTTTTGTATTATTACATATTGGCCATATTGTTTTGTAATTGTTACTATTATTTTGTCAATTTCTTTAGTAGGTAACGAAAATGGCAGAATAGTGACCCAACTTCCCATGAGATTGATTGGAGTATGGAAGCTAGAAAGCTAGTCAAAAAGCAGTTTGTTAGATTTGAAATCCATAAAAGCGTTTTTAGTGTGTGTTAAGAAATAATAATAACTTTTGCCACTCGGAATCTTGATTATTACTTTTCTTTCAATCGTATAATAAATATCTTATTCCATCAATTTTTTCTAAAAATAAATCGCATGATCGCGCGAGTTGGAACTCGATACTGATCTAGAGTTTGTGACTTGCTCCTTATCAATACTATCATACCACGACCTCTGGGTTTATGGTGGTACCGTTGCAAAACTATCATAAATTTGAATTTCGATAAAGCATTAAAAAATTAGCTGTTAAAGACCATTAACAAGTTTTGCATTCATCACTGCTAAAACAAAAATATTTATTACTAAAACATGATTATTGGAACACTAAATACGTAAATAGTAAGAAGAAAGAAAAAAATGGTGGTAGCTAAATTTTCTGAAAGGTTGATTAATCCATTTTTTGATAAATTAACCAAGAATGTGTGCTCCAGTACTTTTTTTACGAGAAGGTAGATGACTTGTTTTGTGGGCAAACGATAAGAATCGAGTTTCACTATCTACACAAATTGATGTGGTTTATTTCTTGTTTACCAATTGTAAATGCTTTAAATGAAAAATCATCCGTTTTAAAAAAATATATAATTCGATAACAAG